CACGCTCTGGTCTTTCCTTGACGACCCTGAAGCTCGTAACTTGGGGATAAGAATCAGGCAGGGGTCTTCGGCACTTTAATTCACATATTTTAAATGTAAACCAAACAAAAACGTTTGCAATACTTACGACTTGATATGAGGGGGGAGGGTGCCCAGCATGCACAAGGTCCTGGGTTCAATCCCCAGCACTCCCATTACATAAAATAATTTTAAAACAAATTAGCCTAATTACCACCCGCCCAAGTTAAAAATACACATATTTATTACTTGACACGAGGAAAAGCAAATTTCCTCCTGGTGCTCTGAGTTCTTCACCGCTTATTAGGTAAACTATCCCTTGGGTAAACTAAGACGAAATGCCGAAAGGCAAGGGAAACATTTAACGGCAGAAGACTGGGCCTCTCCCTTCCCTCGTTACAAAACACAAAGGTAACGGTGCTGACAGCTCGTGGCGCTGAGCCCCGCGTTCGAGGACGAGTGGCGGTGTATTCATTGGTCACGCTGCCGCATGTTCTGTGCAAGGGCTTCGTTGGTGAGCGTAAAACATTAAACTGCACGGCAGGCTAAATTCTACCAGGCAGAACTTCAGATTCCACTGCTGATTATTTCAGCCACATCCTCTGATGAAAGGTGGAAAATCTAACAATGCGGTAGAACTGGACAGACCCAAAGGGCTGGAGGAAGCAGGTGTTCAGGACCAGCCCTGCCCCTGAGCTGAGAACCTCCCGCACGGCGGAGCCGGGGCCACAACCCCGGAGGCTGCAGAGGGTTTTATCCTCGCTTGTGCGCGGGCCACCGGATGGAGGCCTCCCAGCTGAAACTGCCTCTTCAGCTTCTCTTTAGAATTCACTCTTTAATTCAAACACCAAATATTAATTAAAACAACCAAGTAAAATGTCTCTTCGTGACCAAGTACTTGGCTCTTCAGTTTCTTAAACAGGAGCCACCGATGGCGGCTGCTTAGGTCTGTTTCCGTTTAGCTTATGGGTTTTTTTCCCCCAAACACACACAAAAAATGAGAGCAGTAACAAAGATGCCACTGGACCCGAAGTCCAGGCCCAGACACGGGTCCATTTCTCCAAAAATAAATGTGTCTGCTTTATTTTCACATTTATCTCGGAGGCAGAGCCCACTGGAGCACAAATCAGCCCTGTTAATGGTATCACTTAATTAATGTTCGGATTAAAAGTGGCACTGGGTAAAATGTGACAGAAAAACAAGCCTTGCACCGAGGCCATCCCAAGGTCTTTGCCACCACAGCCACCCCCCAACTCCCGGCCCGCACTGCAGCCCCACGCCCCTACCCGCCCGGAGGACCCGGCAGCAGCCCCTCACCTCCAGCTCCTGCTCCCTCTGCAGGGCAAACTGCTTGAAGGACTTGACGATGAGGCCAGCGTTGGAGCAGTCGTAGACGAAAATGGACGGGCTGCCCATCCACGTCTGCAGGTCGTATATGGACAGGGGGATGTACTGGGTGTAGTTCTGGAAAAGGAAACAGCGCAACACGTGACTCACGTGAGACTCTGACTCTCGCTGGCACCTGCGCCTCGGGGTGGGTGCCGCGTGCTGGGTCTGCTGCGGAGACTGAGCTGCCGCCCCTCCTCTGCAAACAGCAGCCAGCTAAGCTCCCTGCCACCTGCCCACTCGGTCTTACCTGTTTTATCGGGAAGAACCAGGCGGTTGTCACAGTGGGACCCCGGCCCCGGGCTCCTCCGCAGCTGCCACCCGGGCAGCTCTCCTGGGCGCTGCGGGCCGTCCCTCCAAGTAGTCACCACGGGGCCCTCCCGTCCCCCTGAATTCTCCCACTGCCTGCAACCAGACCACAGCTTTCTCCTAGAAACCCCAGGGATACGCCTGTGATGTGTGCCACTGCCCGCTCCCCGCTGACTCGGCTGCTTCCCCAACACGACACACGAGAAGATGAGCTCTGGAGAGTGCGCTGGGCCCCAGACGCATGTGCTTCCCCTCCTGTCCCCTCATTTCGGAGCACCCGGCAGCACCCTAGCCTCCAGAAGCTCTAAATCACACGTGAGGGTATACGTGGACTTGGCCCTGTAACTCTTTTCAAGTCACAGGACAGTAACGTGTTGATGTGAATCCGCGCGGTGAAGCAGCTTTCTGGACGCTCTGCACTGCTCAGTCCTCAGAACCTCCCCGGTGGCTGCCAACAGAGAGGAAGGCTCCTCATCTCACCAGGGAGATGGTGCCAGTCCGCGCTCAGAGGTAACGCATCCGCAGCTCTCCTGCACGGAGCCATTACCTCCGTCCCCTCCTCCGGCACCAGCAGTGCGGGCGGTGAGACTCTGGCAGAAATCAATTCTGAGCACTTAGAGCTGAGGTGACTGTGTTTCCTCAACGCTGAGCCACAAACGCTGCCTCCGGCTCTGCCCAGAGGATCGTTTCCAGTGCGACGGGGACCGGGGCTTGAAGACGGCGGCGGCAGCGGCTTCCGGGATGGGCACGCCCAGCACCAGGCCAGTCCCGACCAGGGGACCCAGGCGGGGAGCACGCGCCGGCGGGTGGGGCGGGGGGCGTCTCCGTCACCCTGGGACCGCACCCCGTCTCCCCCTGGACTGCCCTCGCCCAGTGACCGGTGTGCCGTCAGTTCCTGAGCCAAGAGGACACGCGGGCACCCTCTGTCTGAGCAAACTCACTGAAGGACTCTGAAGACGGCGGTTCTTCCCTGATGAGCCTGCAGAGGCGGTGCCCAGTCAACACCAGCAGGCGCCCTTTAATGGACTTGCAAGCGGGTTCTAAAGTAAGTGCGAGACAAACGCATGAGCATTGCAAAATAATTTTTTTAAAGAAATAGTAATGAGAGGGGACTCGGGCTACCAGACATTAAATACGCCATAAATCTACAGTGATTACAGGACAGCGTCGGGGAAGGCGGGACAAACCCACCAACAAGGGAGGAAGGCCAGAAGCAGGCCCACAGGCAGCACTGCGAGGAAGGCGGCGCCTCTGACCCAGCGAGGAAAGAACGCACAGGTCAGCGATGACGCCGCGAAGCCCAGGCCACCGCTCGCACAGCCTTCTGAGAGTCCTCACACAGAAGGGCAGGGCAGACTTCCAACTGAACATGGAAGCAGAACAAGAGGTTTTTCAATTTGTTTGGTGTAAGAAAGACCTTAAACATACACAACCTAGAAACCTTGAGGGAAGCATGACAACATGAAAATTATACGTTATGATGAAGACACACACCGCAGACAAGCAACTGAAGACGAAGGCGGGCCCAGCGCGTGTGACAGAGGAGTGACCGGAGTGTGCATGTGTCTGAGCTTCCGCTGCACATCGACAGACACAAAGCAACAGAGACACACGGCACACACAGTCCACTCAGAAGACACACGGCGACCTGGGCGTGGACGCCTCCCGGGACCACGGAGACACCGGCTGCCGTGAGAGCTGCCCGCCCACCTACTCTCCTCCCCCAGCAGGCTGGAAGCAGGCAGAGAAGACGAACAACAGCCACACTGACCAGGAAGCTCAACGGGGCGTCAGCGTATCATTGGTCGGCGTGCGCACTTAGGAAGTTTTTTGGAAGGCAATTTGGGTGGTGCTTAAAATTTTCAAGTGTACATGTCTTTGACTCCCAGGTGTCCATGCTACAGAAATACCTGCATTTGTGCACAGAAACGTGTGTGCAAGGACGCTCAGCACTGTCTCTGGTAAACCCTGGAGGCTGTTTCAACACCACTGTGGAACAGATCGTCAGTCTAATGCCTATTTTTTCTGCCTCGTCACCAGTACAGGTGGAGCCGAGCACGGGGCCCAGCTTCCTCTGCACCTCGGTCTGATCTCAAAGCCAGTTCTGGCCGATGGGACATGATCAGAAACGTGTCCAAATTACAAGTGCTGCCCTCATGCTCACCGCTTCCTCCTTTTCTTCATTCTTTTTTTTCCTCTTTAATACAGGTGTTTGGGGTGGAACCTAGGACCTCCAGCACGCTAAGCACACACGCTGCCACTGAGCTATTACCCCTGCCCTCCCCCTTCCTCTTCTCCTTCCCCCGAGAATGTGTGACAGGACAGGCCACCTTGGGCCACACCAGGGACAAGCGCAGAAGACAGCAGGGCTGTGTGATGGGAGGGGCCTGGGCCCCACGTCCCGACGAGGCCACGGCAGGCCCCCCGGGGACCAGCACTGCCTGGCGTGGATCCTGCTGTTCCAACACGGAGGGATCAGCAAGCGCAGGGGCCACACGGCCACCCCTGAGGACCGAGGCCAGTCCTACGCACGGACAGGGAGCGACACAGAGGCTTGTCACATTTTTCAAAACACAAGTCTTGGAACCTCTCACATAACATGACCCCATTTTGTGTGTAAAGCACCCCATCCCCAGCACGTAGGCTGCACGGAATGAGGACCCGGCAGGAGTGTGTGGGGTGAACGGTCCTGTGAGCGGGACTGGAGGGCCGCGGGGCCGCTGGAGGCCCCTCCTGCAGCGGGGGCCAGGGCCCGAGTGCGGGGGGAGCGTCACACCTGCTTCTTCGAAGGCTGCTCCTCTTTTGGGCTCTTTCAGAACAGAAACAACTGTGTTTTCATTGAAAGACAAGATGCACACGTCTGTTGGAGGGAGGGAGGGAGGGAAGGGCGGCCTCCGGGTTCACTGTAGCATGCCTGGGCGCTCACTCAGCGTCTCCTGAGGAGCAGGAACGACACACTCTCTGAACAAGTAAAATGCCAAGTCCCCAGAGGAGGACCCGAGTGAGCCTGGCGGGGACGAGCTCCTCCCGGGGCCACCTCCCCAGCCACCTCCCACCCTCTGTGGACACGCAGCCCCCACTGCTACGGGGGAAGGAAGGGCCGAATGAACCCCTTCACAGGGCAGGGACGCCCCTGCACAGAGAGGAGAGAGGCCTTCAGCACCAGCCTGAGAAACCCAGCGTCTCTATATGCCGGTGCCACTCAGCGGTCCAGCTGAGAGGGGCGCGACCGAATGCGGCCACCATGGCGTCCATGTGACTGTCAGAACCGGCAAGGCCATTATCTCTGCTGCCGTCCAGGCCCAGCCCCACAGGCCCCAGAAGCAGCAGAGCAGCGCGAAGGTCACTCTGACACGCCATGTGCTGACTCTTCCTTTCTGAGCCAAAATTTTTTATAGTTCTCTAAAATCAGAAGTTACTGTTTAGATTCCTGGATACAAAGTTACTTAACGGTGACTCAGTAAAATAACGAAGCACCATCCATCAGGAAACGCGCTGAGGGATCTTCCTTCCATTCCCGTGACCGCCCGCTGCCGTGGAAAGGGCTCTGGGGGGCCCCGAGCCACCCGGTCCCACAGGCGGGTGGGGTCATCCCATCTTTACTGCTTGTCCCAGGGCGGCACGGCAAGGAGGCTCTCTGAACGGTCTGCAGCCTCCTGGCTTTAGTTATGAGAGGAGCTGGCCTCCTACACCGCCCACCGGGATGTGCGGTACAGAGAGCGGAGCGGCTGCAACACAGGTGGGCTGTGTGGTGGCGGTGGCCTCTGGGGAACCTGCTGCGAAGCACACGCCTCCGCGCCGGGGACGCTGGGGACCAGTCATGTGGTGTGGGCCCGCCGAGGGCCAGTCATTGGTGTGGGGCCGCCCTGGGCACCGAACCAGGGTTAGGTGAGCAGCAAGCCCGGCCTCAGCCACCGCCTGCCAGTGGCCCCTCCTCAGCTGTGACCACCAAAAAGGCCTCCAGTTATTGCCAAAAGCCCTGGAGGAGGACCCTCCCTGGAGAGAACCGCTGCCTTTGAGGAGAGGTGACTTCATTGGAAACGTTGTCTGTATCAGCTGCCGTTAGCAAAGCCTGTAAGTCCAGCGCCCTTGGGGAAGAGAAGATCAACTCCACTAAAGCACGCTGAGGAAAATGGCCTTGGAGAACGGGTCCCTGTCAGGACGCGAGCAGGTGGGTCTCATTTCCCAACCCGGAAGGACCCCAACACTTGTTGAGCTTCCGGCTGGAATTCCCACCCTGCACACGGCGAGGGGCAGCCTGCAGGGTGGCGCCCCGGAGCCGCCGCCAGCCGACGGGCAGAGGTCTCTCCGTCCCCTGGGATGTCCTGGCATCTCCTCGCTGAACCAACCGCACAGGCTGGAGAATTCAGAGTCCCCTGTGACCAAGGCTGCCCGGAACACGGCAGAGCCTTTCAGGCAACGCTGTGGTTCTCCCCCACCAAGAACTGCAGGTACAGAGAATTCCTGGTCAGAGCGTCTCTCCTTCCTCTTGGAAAAATATATTCAAGGCCGTGTTTTCATTTCAAACAAAGAAACAGAAATCTGTTTTAGATCATTCATTCATTACAACCCACTTTATCCGCCAGGTCAAATTAAACATCAAGGAAATAAAAAAGGCACCCACTTCACCAGCCTGTGGGCGGCGGGGCGTTCACCGCAGAGCGCCGAGCCCGGGACAGGAGCTGGGGGGCAGGCGCCTTTCTCCAGGGAAAGCAGGCCGCCTCCCGGGAAGCAACTCTCCGTTTTCGGGGCGATGACAAGTTCAGGGGCTGCTGACTTACAGTGGCTCAACTCACGCTTCTTCAGTTTTACGATGCTGCGAAGCGATACGCAGTCGGTAGAAGCCGCACTCTGAATTCTGACCTTTTCC